TTCGTTTTTCGGTTTTGGGGTTTAGGGTTTAGGTTCGTACTAGTACGTAACTTTTACTTAACGTTAACTTAATTAAAATTTAAATTAAGTAGTGTAGTATATATATATATATATATATATATATATATATATATGTGTGTGTGTGTGTGTGTGTGATCCAAAATAAGTATTGAAATTTTTTAAGGGTACAGAAACATTTACAAGAGAATTACTATGTTTTACTGAGAAATTTTGACTATACATATGCATTTATACTGTTATGGCAGTCTGTTTTATTCATCAATTCCTTTGCATAATTTATTCTTGTGAAAGAACATTAGTTATGTTTTCTGCCTTTATTTACATAAAATACATCTTGCATCATGTATTTGAAACTACCAAGTTGTTAATTAAAAACGACCTACAGCCCTTGCTAAAGTGGAACAGCTAAACTTTGCTTGTTGCTAGGTAACAGTGCAGAAAAATCCATACATGTATGTGTAAAATGTTGAACTAAAATTAAATCTTAAAAACAATGGATGGGACAACATGGCCAAGCATAATGTTTAAAAAATGATAGGCCAAACTTGGTCAGATAAATTGTTACTTGTATTAAGGTATATATAGATTTACACATTGTTTCATATGTAACAAAGATAAATTATTTTAAAAATATGTAAGCTGACTTCTTATGATGTGTATTGTGGGCCATTTATGTATGTGTGTGATGTGTGGACAATGTCTTCTGATTGCCTGAGAGTATTTCCTAGCAATGTCTTATCAATCTATATGATGTTTATACAGATCTTACTGATTTTTACTTCAACTAGAAATTGGAGAACAGTTTAACAATGTGTGTGTGTCTCCTGGCAGCATTCCAAGGGTCATCTGATAATTTTTATTATCTTAATTCATTAACTTCCAGATTGTTGATTGTTTGAGTCTGGTGTGCATGGCAACCTGACCGGTACTGTAGTTCCCTAACTGATTTGTATATTTTCCATCACAACTTCAGTGGATGTTGTGGAGCAACATTGTAGGATTGTTACTGTTTTCATGTTTCAATTTATGAATAATGTAGGATGTTTTACAGAATTTATATCCATGTACATTAAAAATACCAAATATTGTTAACTATTGAATAATATTGTTTTAGACATGCTGGCTACCAGTACTGTGGAGCATGTGCTGCCTTTGCATACAGACAAGTTGACCCTTCTATTGTGTAAGTTATGTTTTCTATTTGTGCCTCAAGTTAATAAGTTAAAACTTGTTTCAACTCGCACACATACATTAAAATCTTTCTTGTAATTTCAGTCAAGTATTCTTGATTTTTATTTCTTACCCGTCATATTCCAACAACCATCAGCCATACATCAGACATGAGATTTTTCCAAATCTGATGGTAAATCAAACCAAGGTAAAGTCCCTGTGATCATCTTAAAGCTTTGTTTAAATCCTAGGAGAAAAATATATGGAAGGGATTAAGGTTATTAGATGTCAGGATATTCACTGTAGCTTCAGTAAAGTTATGTGTCTTGTGTGAGGGAGTGGCCTTCTTTCTCATGTGAAAACATGAGCAAGATATGAGAGAACTATCATGCGATGTGCTTCTGGCTCAAATATACAGCTGCTATTAGGATTAACTAATTGGTATTAGCTGTACATAATATATCCAGGTTTGCCTTCTTTGTTATGTATACTGTGGCTATATTTTTCATTGTCAGTAATGCTTCACTAACAATTGTTATTAGCAGTCAGTAAATATCAACAATAAAAAAAAAGCTTTCTGCTTGTAAAATGACATAAAAACAAATTTTTGTGTTAGTGGAAGTACTTAAAACTTGTGAAGTATGTCGGTGTGTTTTAAAGGAGGATAAAGAAAATAATTTTGTTTGGAATTGAAGATTCAGAGCCATAAATGCTGTATAAATCATCACTCTAATGAATGCTTAAAATATGTATTTACAACGTAATGTTTTTAATTCCCAATTAACATTGTACATAATATTAAGATATCTTTTCAAAGAATGTCAGTAAATTGGTAAAGATAAACCCTCACTAGAGAGAGCTGTGTTTGGGATAGCAGGTATAAATCATCTGCTGCTGATTTACAAGAAATTTCTGATTTTTTTCTTTCTATACCACTTTTATGCTACTTATCAACAATTAAGTCAAATACAAACAATTATCAGTGTATTGTATGATAAATTTAAGTTACTGCTTGTTAGTTATATATCAGTTTTCCATTCATGTGTAAACTTAATAAATCTGTAGACAATACCAGTAATTATTACCTGGCAGTTTATATATATGTAAAAGCAGAATTGTGATATAACCTACAGTTGTACTTTAACATATAAAATGTATTCAGATGTAGGAGTAAACTGATTCAGTTTCTCTACCATCACTGAGTATGATAACTTTTGTGTGATTTCAGAAAACGTGTGTTCATCTTAGGCCCATCTCATCATGTACGGATTGGTGGTTGTGCTCTTTCACCAGCTAAGGTGTACAGAACCCCTCTCTATGACCTTCCTATTGACTCGCAGAGTAAGTTGTTTATTGTGAGAAATTTTGCTAGAAAAGAATGACAGTAATTATAAAAATACCTGATCAGTAATGTTTCCCTGGCATGATACATACATACATAAATGTAATTTTTTGGAGAGAGAAAAAAAAAACACAGCCACAAAACAAACATTGAACACTGGGGCACAAATCATAAGGTGGGTCATTATGTAATGTGCCCTAGTTTTCTGAGTTATCAGCAGATGTATAGTATTACCTTACCATCTTGGTATTGATGTCCAAACATCATATACAGGGCTGGAATGCTAACTTTAAGGACAGTTTTGCTGTCTCCCCCATTGATGTCTTGTATTCTAATTATTTCTTTCTTATTATTGTTTTTATTCTATTTCTTAATTTTTTGTGACCAACTACCCTCTCACATCTGGCTGCAGACAGCAAAAGGTGGTAAAGATGTGGGATGTTGTGGGCTGTAGCACCCACATCTGCTCCTTTTTTTTTTCTTCTCTCTTCTAAGCATGTAAGACTGATGAAGTTGAGGTTAAACTGGATAAACAGTGTACTGCCAGTGCAAGTTACATATTGACCAACCTTAATGTTTGTGCTCCAGTATGGATGTTTTTTTGTGGCTGCATTTTTTTCCTCCCCTCTCCAGAAAATTACATTTAATTATATTTCATCTAAAATTTGGATATGTCGTGTAAAGTTCATGCTATTCTTCCTATTAGTGAGAATATCTTCCACTGCAAGAGCAGGACATAGTATTTCTCCTATCTGTTTATGTCACTACCTGCATCACATTGTTCACCCTACCAGTGCTGTAAACTATTACCACTCATAAAGAGATATCCTGCTAAGAAGAATGCCTTTTTTTAGTGCCATTTAGGTCCTTTTTTTTTTTTGTATAAGGCTAGTTCATTTACTCATTCTTCCTGGACTCCAGTTCTAAAAAATTCGTTTCTCATCTTGGACTCTATTCTGACTCTACTTGGCTACTGTTTTTTTATAGTCAAGATAGTTTATCTTCCTGCCCTGTAATTATGGTTCATTGATTCCCACCTCTTTTATAATGTGGATATTTTGGTTTTCAGTATTTCAGAGGTAAGTCAACCTAATTTGAATTTTAAATTAGAATTAAAGTGAATTTCAAACAGGAACTGACCTCTGAAATACCTTCCTTCCCACAACCAAATCTTCATCAAGGCTGTCACTTTCAAACAAGTCTAACTTTTGCCAGGAAAGCAGCTTTTGTAAGATCTGCTGATTCTTGCATAATAAGTCACATGGAAAGTGAAAAAGTGGAGTATCATGGGTAAGTGACACATATGGAAACTTTGATTCACATGTTTTGCTGACAGTACGAGTTCAAACTCAACAAGAAAAAGCTTGTATTGTGATCAAAGGGTTCTAAATGTAATTTCACTGACCTTGCTTCACACTTTCAGCTGTGGGAGTAATATAAAAGCAACAGTAAATCCTGTTATTTGGTTTAAAGATTTAACTCTATCACAATCAATGTGGAACCTTCAGATATCAAGTGAGCATCTTCAATATAAAATTTCAAAATTTAAGTAAAAAAATAATAATTTTAACTAAGTTTCTAACAAAATATTTTAGAGTTGATGTTTTGTCATTATATAACATTTTATTTAGTGTAATTTGAAAAGCATAATTTGAGAACCCATATTCTCACTTTGTTCTTTTATTGCTAAATCCATTCATTGCCGCTAGTCTTGGGGAAACTAGTTTGAGAAAGTAGCTTGCTATACTTGAAGCTAGTTTGAGAAAGTAGCTTGCTATACTTGAAGCTAATTTGAGAAAGTAGCTTGCTATACTTGAAGCTAGTTTGAGAAAGTAGCTTGCTATACTTGAAGCAAATTTGAGAAAGTAGCTTGCTATACTTGAAGCTAGTTTGAGAAAGTAGCTTGCTATACTTGAAGCAAATTTGAGAAAGTAGCTTGCTATACTTGAAGCTAGTTTGAGAAAGTAGCTTGCTATACTTGAAGCAAATTTGAGAAAGTAGCTTGCTATACTTGAAGCTAGTTTGAGAGAGTAGCTTGCTATACTTGAAGCTAGTTTGAGAGAATAGCTTGCTATACTTGAAGCTAGTTTGAGAGAATAGCTTGCTATACTTGAAGCTAGTTTGAGAGAATAGCTTGCTATACTTGAAGTGAATTTGAGAAAGTAGCTTGCTATACTTGAAGTGAGTTTGAGAAAGTAGCTTGCTATACTTGAAGCGTGTTTGAGAAAGTAGCTTGCTATACTTGAAGCAAATTTGAGAAAGTAGCTTGCTATACTTGAAGCAAATTTGAGAAAGTAGCTTGCTATACTTGAAGCTAGTTTGAAAGAGTAGCTTGCTATACTTGAAGCAAATTTGAGAAAGTAGCTTGCTATACTTGAAGCTAGTTTGAGAGAGTAGCTTGCTATACTTGAAGAAAATTTGGGAAAGTAGCTTGCTATACTTGAAGTGAGTTTGAGAAAGTAGCTTGCTATACTTGAAGCTAGTTTGAGAGAGTAGCTTGCTGCTTTTATTTTGTTAAAAATATACATATAATTATACGAAAAAAAAAGGAAAGGGGATAGCAGCTGCTCAATTTCTTCATCTTTCTGTTTCCAGTGTGCTTTTTGAGTTTTCATTGTTGCCTTCAGCCTTATTATAGCAATTTTATCTAATTTTAGCATGTCCAATTATTTTTATAATTTTTTTCTCTCAATTTGAATTGACCTGTTTGAGTATATGCTTAATCTTAACTAATCCCTGTCTTTACCAACCAACTGCTTGTTTTGTTAGAAGTATTTACAATCAAATATAATTTTATTTTATAGAAGTGTTTGTGATTATATTTATAAACAGCACCATTTAGTAGCATTTACTGTGACACTGAGGTCTTCACACAATGGACACCACCATAGAAAATAGTCAGAGTTATGCACAGGTCACTAATTTTTCTTGGAAGGGTAGTAAATCTATGGAAAGTTATTTAATTCTGTGCAGCAATACACATTCAGCAGTAGGAAGTCATAGTGAAACAGTTCACTTGTGGTTCTGCTACTACTACTTTAACAAACATACACTCAATAATAATATGTTTCACCTTGTTTCTCCAGCAATATAACTATTTTATAAATGTTATTCAACAAAAAAGAAAACATCTGCTCAACAATAATATGTTCTACATGCTGTTGAATACAAGATAAAACATGTTTTTAAAACCATGTTTTCACAGCACTAAAATTACTTTCAATATGTTATTAAATGGAAAGAAAACATCCACTTAACAGTAATATGTTTTAACTTGTTTCCATGGCAGTGTGATAATGTAAGATAAATGGTACAATTACAGCTTGTGTATTAGGTAGGAAGGTCATGTCATTGTGCCACCAATGACTGAAAGTATTTAATGGCTGCTACTTTGGGCTGGAAAAAGCAGTTTGCTAGTGTAAAAAGTTATCATTAACTGAAAATAACTCCTTGTGATAAAGCTACTAAAAAATGTAGCTTGCTACTGTAGAATTATTACTAATTAGTGAGCTACTCTCCAGCACTAGTTGCCATCCTTTATGATATCACAGCATGTGATCTGAACAATTACTGATGAAGCTCAGTTATGAATATGTCTATAGCCAACATTTAAATATGATTGGATAGAGCAGATTATAAACTATTTATAGAGTAAATAAAGTGGTTTCTGAAGATACTGAGTATTAGAGCTCCTGTAAGAGTGAATAAAGGAACCTAATGAAAAGCTTAGAACACTTAAGAATGAACCACATATCTGGGAATTTGTAATAGTTTCGTTAGACATTATTTTCATTTCTGAAAACTACAGAAATTTTTGTCTATAGCAAGAAATCAATTAAGTTCAGTTAGGTTAATTTAGGTACTATGATAGCTAACAGCAAAATATTCTAATGACTCAGATTCTTATTTATTGGATATTATCATGTTGAAACAGCTCACAAATAAAAGAACATATTGGTTTCTGGAAAGAAACATATTAAACAGATATTGTTAGCAAAAAACACGTTACTGTGATATATTAAAGTAAAACTGAGTTAACCTTCGAGTAGTCAAATAGGTCGGCTTAGTAACTGGAGGTTCATTCAAGATACCTATTATGAAGTAATGCTAAATCTCTGAGTAACTGAGTGGTGATATTAAATGGAAAAATGAGACTATACACAAAGTGGACTACAAAATGCACAGTCTTGATTAAAACATAACACAAACACAGTGTGTGTGTACTTGCTTTACGGTGTGATGAACTGCTGCTTTCACCGGATTCTGTTAGCTGCTTGCTTTTCAAGATCCTGTTTTATATTGACTAAATCCAACTTTTTTTTTAGTTTGCAAGATACATTGAATTTACCCAAAGTGACTAGCTCTATCCATGTGACTTGTCATTCTCATTCAAACATAAGGGGGAGCCATAACCTCTAATTATCACCTGAAAGACCATTAAAGGAAACTACTGTTGACATTCTTGCATAATATGCATTATTACAGTAATTCTTCCCGGGGCAGAGAACAGGTATTATCTACTAAAGAACAACAAAGGAAGAAAGGCAGTTAGAACAAAATAACAGTTTTTTTTTTACCATGAGTTATATGAAACCTGCACATGTGCAAAATGAATTATAAATTCAGAATAAATACTATAATATTATTTAAAAAAAAAGATATGCTTGGTATATTCAACAATAAAAAAATTGTAATTATAATATGAAATGAAATATTTTTAGTATTTTTTCAAAGCAGTATTTCACAAAATGTTTAGGAAATTTCAGAACCTATGAATGATAAGGTAATAAATCAAATTACATGATTTGTTTAAGCCAAAACTAGATTCTATTTAGTAAGTTTTTACTAAATTCTGTGCAATTTGGTTTAGTTTTTAACTGTGAGAAGGAAGAAATTAGAGGATATCAGTAACATCCCTCTTGTCTATATAGGGTTAAAGAGCCAGACAGAACCTTATGGTAGTAGATGCTGTTGGCTGAAAGCATTTTCTTTTTTGTCATGTTCAAAATTATGGGCAGATATGTCTGAATCATAAGGGTCTTTCACTTGGCCATTTATCCCACATTTGTGTATTATGCCATTCAAGTTAAAAATTCCTGTTTCATAAAATCATATTATATTAACTTTATTGATCGTCAATAATCAATGAAAAATCTGATTTATTTAAAGCTGATAATAGGCAGCTGTTTGATGACAATTTTGTGCAATCATCTTATAACTAAATGAATCTTGGAGGCTAGAAAAAGTATACCTAGTCATTATGTTACAAAATATCAGTATTTGGGTAAATTTATTTTCTGTGTGAAGCTAGTACATACACTGTTTCAGTTTCTGCTTTTGTTTATTTTAATCTCTCTCTGCTGATCAACTGTTCTATTACAGTTTATGAAGACCTCTACAGTACAGGTCACTTTGAAGAAATGTCCATTCTTACTGATGAAGATGAACACAGCATTGAGATGCATCTTCCTTATATAGCCAAAATAATGGAAAAGTAATGTCTCAAGTGTTTTTATAGCTTTAAGTGCTTCAGTATTAAAATATCTTTTGTGTGTGTTTGTTTAATTTATGAGTCAAGAGTGTATTGAACAAAAGGTATCAAATATTTCTATAATTTTAATTTGGTTTTTTTATTAGTTGAGTTAATTTACAATAAATAATCTTATCTATAAACAGACTAAATTTATATGAATAAGATTGTATTCATCACTACTAGCACATTACTTAATTGATAGCCTGGTGAACATTTTACCTAAAGCAAAATAAACTGATACTGCTCCCCCTCCCTTGTAAATTTTATGTTTCGTGTTTATGATTGTCTATTTTTAAAATGGCCATGTTCAGTAGTTGCATGCCTGCATTAATGGTTGTCTCCTGATCGTATGTTTTTAAAATGTGCACTGTCAGGTACTTACTTTTTAGTTTCTATTGCATATATATATATATAAGTAAGTAAATATATGGGTTTGTTGGGCTTAGGATTCTTCTACAGTAGGTGTCTGTGACTTTTTGGCAATAAATTCAAAAAAATAAACAACATGCACTCTACTTGTTTTCAAAATAATATATATGTTCAGAACAAGTTAAACATATGTACAAAAATTCCTTACACACTATGGAGGTCACAGGCATATCATAAACACTATATAGTTCTCTTTTTCTTGTTAAAAGTCCACTTAGGCCTATTGAATTGCTTTAGAATTCAGTTGAGAAGCCCAACTATTTTTCTCTATTTCTGTTGCCAGACCATCAGTGTATAGTTCACTTACATTGTCATTGAGTTACAATGGTTGTATCTTGTACTTAAAAAATTGTCTGCTCCTTTTTTGTATTTCCAAGAATTGTCTGCCTTTTGTCAAAGCCCAATCAGGCTGGTTCAATTACTTTAGAACACCCTTTGATGAGGCAATTTATTCTCCTTATCTCTTATAAAATTGTTTATCTCACTCTAACATATCAACTGTTAGACTTTTCACTCCCATGACAATTAATTTTGTGTTTAACTTTTCTCTGACCGAACTTCTCCTTCCCATGACTTTACTCTCTTCTGCTCTTTTTTTCGTCTGCTTGCCTCTATTTAAAACGTCTATCACATAGGCCTTCTAGAAATCTCTATATCCTTGAAATCAATCAATTGCATGCAACATTTGATAGCCTCGACATCAATTAATTATAAACACAACGTACGATTCTTACTGAGTTACGTAACCAAACTTATCATAACTATTGCCTGTAAAATAATTACATGTAACTCTTTTGTTATGAAAACACTTAACAATCATGAAATATTCACTGACAAAATAAGTAAATTAGTAATACCTACACTAAACAGTCTTTTATATCTGACATGCACATATATAGTAATTACATGCCTAAATTAATGGTTGTCTCCTGATCATTTATTTTTAAATTGCACACATAGTAATTACGTGCTTAAATTAATGGTTGTCTCCTGATTGTTTATTTTTAAAATGTGAATATGTACTGATTATATGTCTACATTAATGTTTGCCTCCTGTTGGCATAACAAATATTTTTTCAATGTCTGTGAATGTTTCATAAAGCATAGACAAATAGTGTAAGATCATAGATTAGTATATGACTGGTCACTTTTATTTTTTGGTTATAGAAAAATGTGTTTCAAAGTTAATCATTCTGTTTGTCAAATACCATAAATTTATCAACATTAAACAAAGCTTGCTGCTGTCTCACAACTTCAACTTGTATGTTAACAAGGCTTTTTATATTAAGAAGCTCTTGAAGCTTAATCATACTTATCAATCACTACTGTGTGTATAGTAAGGGAAGTAAATATGATAGGATGAATGCAGTGGTAAGTTAGCTTAGGTGTTAGAAGCAAATAGCCTCACATGTGAAGTTAAGTTTAGTTATTTGGCAGTTATATCAGGTTTTATCATCAGTTTAATTACAATGCATTTTTTTTGGTTTACTGAAGTGTATACATATATTTTTGTGTGTGTGATAATTAGTGACAGTGGAGACATTTTGGTTTTCACTGTCTTTTTGTAGTGGTTTGTTAATTGTTTTTATAAGTGCACACAAGGTGTTTATATTAGATGAATGAATGATGCTTTAATTTATAAGAGAAATAATTGCTTAGTACAAAAGTTATCTGTAAATGATCTTTGTTGTTTAGTGACTTATTGATTACATTTATAAGTATATAACAAAATAGTTTTGCAGGAATATGTAAATGAGGTTGTTTTTAAACAGGTTTACTTATAGTGTGTGCAGAGGCATTGCTAATTGGTTAAAAGATTTTGGGCTCGGGCCTATAGACACGGGAATTTTCAGAGTTTCTGGTATTATATTGATCATGGTTTTCTTTTCTGATTTTTCAAGATTTTTCTGTGGAGAGTTTAAAAAACATTTTGTAGAAAGCCAATACAAGTTATACTAAAGGTGTGAAGAAGTTTCACAGTCTTGATGTAACCTTATTTGCAGTGTGTGTGAAACAGTTTTAAAATATTTGTGAAATAGATAATACCATCATTATAAAGCATATTTTTGTGGTAGTTTTTTTGTAACATAAATAACATTGTTAACTATTGCTTCAGTGTTATCATGATAGCTAATTATGGTAACTTTCTAAATTCCCAGTGATGTTTCTTTTCCTTTCCGCATTCTGTAGACTACTTGAGTTTTCCTGTGTAAATATTTTATTTAGTATCTTCTATTACTTATGTTCCATGTATATCCAACTTCTAATTTCACTTCAAGAAAGACTGATAAAAAATTTTCTTACTCAACTGCTGGTCATCTAGTATAACATTAAATGGGTCAAGGTCCATGCTTTCTCTCACTATTTTATTTTAGAAGGAGGATGACTAAGCTGCTCAAGTAGATCATCCTAGGTTCGTTCAGTGCTCATGTCAGTATTAAAAGAGATTCACAAAACTACACTAAAATACTAAGTAGAGGAATATGACATAAACATTTTTGATGTCCTTTAAGTTTTTTTAAATTATTTTTTATTAATTCTATAGTTATTTCTGTATATTTACCCATGGAATGTGGAACACTGATCATGTCTCATAGACTAAGGATTTAGAGGTACTTAATAAATAATAAAAACAGAAACTATCCCATTGATATAGGAATACCCTGATTTATAGCAGGTTTTGCATAAGTGAATTTTAAGACTTGAATCACAAGATAGTAAAAAAAGAAGCTGATTTTCTAATCATAATGAAGTGAAAAATATTAAATTATTTATCACAGAATTCGTTTTTTTTTAATTATTAGTGTCATAATAAAATGATCAATACAATCTTGAACAATGTAAGTTCCAGAACTTCTTTTGGTAATTGCTGTTTTCCATGATATATTGTTTCAAATTATATATATTTATTATATGTAAGGTGAACTTATATTTTATTTATATTGTTTTTGTCAGGTTCATTTGATAAGATTATATTAATTATGCTTTTAAGTAATTATAATACAAAGTAATCTAAATTTCACTCTAAGGTACTCCAATTTGACATATTTCAACTTCTATTAAGGTTCTGCAGAGCAAGAAAAGTGTACATAGTATTATGAAGTTAAAAGTACTAAACCTTTGACTTGTGTGTCTAGTGTTAAATTGCAATGAAATAAAATTAGTAGTTTGGTCATTCCACGGTGTTTCTATATTTTATTTCCATGTAACATAGAGCTTCGTAAAATAGGCCCATTACATATGTAGAAGGTGATGCAAAATTGAAAAGTTGTTTACTTCAAAATGTAAAAAATTAACCTCATTTCATATTTAGATTATATTAAGTTCCATCCAGTTCTTTTTTTGTATTGAGAATAAGGATTTAACTTACTGACCTAAGCAAAGTACAATATAAACAAGAAAAGTATTGCCACATTAATAACCTGTACAATGTGAATTAGGGAAACTAACTTTTGCCTCACCCTCCACCCATTAATGGCACAACGGTATATATGTGGACTCCCAATGCTAGAAACTGAGTTTTAATAATCATGGTGGGCACAGCACAGATAGCCCATTGTGTAGCTTTGTGCTTTAACTTTAAACAAACAAACCTCAGCTTCTATACAGGGTGCATATGTATCCTTTAAAGTTCTTGAAATTGAGAATGGAATATCAAGGGCTTGAAAAGGGGCCTTTTTTGTAAAAGTTCTTGAAAATATAATAATAGCAGAATATATCGATATATCTAACTTTAATGCTTGTTGCAGAGTTGAGTGCAATAAATAGTCTTTCTTTTCTTTTTAGTCTACATTCATATGTTGAACAAACATATAGTAATTTTGATGTAGATTTTAGCTTCAAAAAAGTGCTTGAAATTGATCTGAGCATGTCTATAATGTGTTGATAATTTTTTGAAAGCAAATATAAAAAGTACTGGTTAGAAACAAAACTTTTGCCAAGCTGTTCATGTTAACATATGATTACATAAATGACATGTTTAATAAGTAGAGAGACAAGCTAATAGAGAATTGTAAGTAGAAACACTGGTTACTCACATGAAAAGTTATTCTAGCCGTCAGGTTACCATAGTGCCTGTTCTTGTGGGATCTCTTACAACAGAGAAAGAAGCTCTCTATGGAACTATTTTCAGCAAATATTTAGCAGACCCCAACAATTTGTTTGTAATATCTTCTGACTTCTGTCACTGGGGTGAGTTTATTTTTATTGTCACATTTAAAATTATTATCCTGTGACACAATCAACTTAATTATTTTATCTTTTCATATTTCACTGAAACAGAAGTGTTTCAGATTTGTTTCATAGGTTATGCTTTATTGCTATTTCACCAAAGAAAATTATGATCAGAAGTTCTGCCCAAATTGATTGCTACAGTTTCATGACCCCTAAACAGTTTTGCTTATTTACAGTCATAAGCATATATACCTCCTAGAGAACTTGTAACTCCCTGATATCACCTTGAAACTGATATCTTACATTCTGTAATTTCTTTCAACAAGTTACAAACTTTTACAAATACCAAATTGTCGAATTCAGATACAAGGATTTTAACTTTCAGCTTAAAGTTTTGGAATATTGTTCAACATTTACAGGTACAAGTCTTCATACTATAAATTATTGTTAATACCATTAGGACAAAAAAAGCAAACAAACTTAAGTTGTTAAGCTAAGTCCCAAATCTTTCTTTCAAAACAAAACTATCTGTATTTTTTATCATCTAAAGTTAAAATCACCAATTTTGTATGCTTCATGTTATGTTACTTACATGCAAGTGCAGGAAAAACTGGTCGATGGTTCATGTCATTAGATTATATTCTGTTGGTTCAGCTAGTTTTGGAGTTGCTCAACTGATTACTTAAGGATATGAAATAAAACTCAGTTAACAGTGTTTATTTTGATAAAACTTGAACTATGGAAGGAAAACATAATGAGATCAGAATAATGAAAATCTTTTTTTTTTTTTTTAGTCAATTTGGCTATTTTGTCAGTTTTTAATGTAGTAACTAAAGACTAGGAATAAATCATAGGAAATCATTAGATCTATAACAGTGGGTTAATTAAATTTTATATTCAAGAATTGTAGCCTGTCTAGAGGCGATTGATTTTGATATAAAAAAGGCAAGTGATTGTAAGATTACAAATCAAAGATCTATATTAAAATAATAGCAGTTACAGTGAAATCTGTTTGACAATCACAGGAGCTCGTTTCCATTACCAGTACTATGACAAGTCTTGGGGAGACATCTATAAATCAATTCAGAAGTTAGATGAAATGGTGAGTAATGATTTAAAATATTAATTTTTTTTTTTACAAAAAAAGGCTTCTCAATCTTTTGTGGTTTAACAATTAAAACATGGGTTTTAAGAAAGTCAGTTTTGTTTCTGTACAAAAGGATCATCAAAAATGCAATTGTGAATATTTATCTTATCATCAGTTGCAATGACAGAAAAATTTTTTTTTTTCCCTTTTCACAAACTTAGGCCACAAGTAGGTAAAATTTTTGAAAGCAGCATTAACATTTAATTATTTAAGAAGGAAATGTTTAAGTAAATCTCTCTAAAGGGGTATATGTAGCTATATTTTCAACATCCTTGTTAAACTGCGGAATTTTGTTTGCAGAGTTTTTCACATGGGTTTGTGTAAACTTTATAGGTATAATGCTTTTTTTTCTATCTGACTTCCTTTGACTTCATTTTTTACATATGTTTTATAAGAAACTTTATGATATATTTGATTATTGAAAAATAGAACTATTATATATCCTGGTTATGTCTAACAGATTTCTAAAATATTTTTCCAAGTAGTTTTTCTATTTTTTTTTGTCTAGGGCATGAATATTATTGAGTCTTTATCACCAACTGGATTTACCTCATACCTGAGAAAGTTTGGAAACACAATTTGTGGACGTCATCCTATTGGTGTACTCTTAAATGTAAGTTTAATCTTTTATGTGAATCTTCTATGCCACATCAATAATAATTAAATCATTATTAACATTAAATATATAAATATCATATATCAAAAGTAGGAATTTACTTATATTTTACCTACAAAGTTTCTTTATGCTGACAGACTTAGAGAAAAAAAAAAATATTTTTTGCAACTTAGTACTGTACATGTCTTTAGGACATTATGGACCTTCTACAGAGGTGGAGTACCATACATCATCCAGTTTGAAACAAACATGAATTACAAGTCTATTGGCATAAGATCAGATCTATTTTTAATGATAGTTGTAATTTAGATCATTTCATGAAATTTAAACATTACAAAATAACTATCACATAAGCTTCAAAGGTTTATTTATAGTCTTACAAAATTGAAACAAACAGCTATATAAAAATATTTAATGTTACCATCTCAGAAAAGTTTCAAAATGCACTTTTTGATTAGTTGTATTTTCAAAGTACCAACTGTTCTCTTATATTTTCTTCACATATGCATATTATTTTATATTCAAGTAGAAATCAAGAATTTTGAAGTATTAATTTATTTATTGATTTTGAAATACCAAAACATTTTGTACTAAATCAGTGCCATTTTTCACATAACTGTTTTACTTTTTTTTAATTCAACCTTGATAATCATATTCTTTTGGGTCATAAATATTTTTCCTAATGAATTTTCAGGCAGTTCACATCCTTCAACAGACTACTAGTAATGGCCACAAGATTTCCCTAAAGTTTCTTCGTTATGCCCAATCGAGCCAGTGTCTTAACATGCACGACTCTTCAGTAAGCTATGCTGCTGCTTCTCTACAGATTGAATGATAATGTTTATCATAGGAAGATCAAGTGGTGCTTTGAAATGAACGTTGTCAATATTGTTTCTTACTGTTGCTGATGTAGGTCTCAAGGATATGACTATGCAAGTTTTGTGTATTGTTTCTTTGTAATGTACATCTCAGCTTCCATACAAGACTTGTATCCCAAAATGTACTTTACATTCTTTAAATTATGTTATGGTTTTTGGATTTGGAGGTTAGACTTGTTTCTTGTAAAGTATAATGTTTTATTAATAGTAGTAACATGTAAAACTCCAAGATACTCAAGAATTGCAGGAAACACATGTCAAACCAAAAACTAGAAATATTAATAAATCATCAGATATTATGATGTAAGGAGTTTAATGTTTCAGATGGAAAATATAACAGAATTTTATGAGTGCTTATGGTATTCATCTAGTTCAAATTACCTTTGATGTAAAAGTATTTTTAAAATGTACCTAATTGCTATTTAGGAAATCTTTGTTCTTGGACTAATTTCTTTTCTGTGATAACTCATATCTTGTTGTTTAAGATTTACTAAGAAAACAGTGAATTCAAAGTTGTGTACAAGTTAATGAAAAAGTATTGTTATTCTGTAGCTGTGATTGATACTAAAAACCTACAGCATCATAAAACAGAACTATTTGTAATGAACTCAGTAGTTGCAAAAAATATGCTAAGAATCAAAGTGTTTAATTAGTAAATATTCAGATAAGTAACATGCTGGGTTGATATATAATGAAAACATGCTTCCAAACCTTAAAAAAGTTTAAGATGTAGCTTTCCACATGACTTTAGTGGTACAAGATTGGCTTTGTTAGGTGTACTTTTAGTGTTAGTTGATCAGTGTTGTAAATTTTAATAATAATAATAAAGATATAAAACAATGAGTATTATGTGTATAACATATTGTAATCTCTTTCTTTTTTTTACCACCTATTTGTATATAATCTTATTAAAAACATGTATGATTTCAGAGTGATGTTTCTTACAATAAATATATGTGCAGAAATCTTAGGAAACAATGTTATTAAAATATAGAAAATGTATTGACCGAAGTTTTGCCATTAAACCTCATTTTCGTATTGGGTTTGAAGCATTTCACTAATGGATTTTTTGTTTCACTTTTACGTAATGCTTATTTTTCCAACTCCAGTGAACTGATATAAGATTTCAGGTAATTGCAGTTTAATTTGGAAGGAAGAGTGTGAAGGTATTTCCCGATGATTATTATTGATGTAATTTACTATTGATAGTGACAATGTTGGTGTTTTTTCATAATTTGTGCTGAAAATAGATTTTCTCTGATATATGGAAATTCAACCAATTATCTTGTTTACTACAGTATGTAAGCTAGTGAATAAACAGATGTAATAATATTGTGACTTAAAAACCAGTGAATGTATAGCGGAGTTTATATTTAATATGATCTTAAAGTTTATGAAAATTAGTGAACTCATTACGATTTGTAATAAATATAGAAAAATGTGTAAAACTGGTGAATCCATAAGAAAGAGTTTATGTAATTATCTTGAACAAGTTAGTGACAACTAGTATTGCTACAGCTAAACAAATTTATTAACTGTTAAGGAATTTTCATAACGACTGTGAAGTTGGTGACAGCTAATATTACTACAGCTGAAAATACAATAAGACCCTGCTTAGCACCACCCTGCCATTAAGCTGATTCTTTATAGAGCTCTTGTCTCTTTGAGAATTTTTTTTTTGGGAGAAAGAAAAAAGTATGAAAATCCATAACTCTCTGAACACTACTTTTTCATACTAATGGTAGTAACGAACTAAATAATTTTTATTTAATAAAATAATGCAACATAGAATAATAACATGCAAAAAGCAGCCAACGTATGGTAACTATCACAATTTTTCTGGCATTTCTAGTGACGCAAAATGAATCATTAAAACGTCATCCATCTATAAAACATCACTCCCGTGGGAAAAAAAACATTTTCTTAAAAAGCGATCTACAATTCTCTGTACAGAAAATGTCATATAAAACGACATTTAATAGACAAAAACATTGCCTGTCTATTGGTCATAACCAATATAGTCCATAAATGTAAGAGAGAACTACATGTATTGATAAATCCTGAAAGAGAGGATGTGACAGAAAATCAAACCCCTCCTGCCACGCTCACCTATTTGATGGCTCTGTAACCAAACAAGTTTAAAGGCTAATAAAAAATTTGCTTTTTTCCAGTGATGACAATATTATAGTGAGTAATTTACATCAAATTTACCTAAATAAAGCACTTGTACATCATTCACAGGTAAGAAACAATGCCTTCAGTTACATATCTCCATATATGTAATGTTGAAATGACCCTGTTTAGAGCTCTGTTCTGAGGAATACTTCCTGAGTACTAAACGCAGTATTACTGTACGATGCTTTTAAAGTTTTGTTATAACTAGTGGAGAAAAGAGTTAAGGTGCTGAAAGTTGTGTAATGTTCTTTCAAAAACAGTTAAGTTCAATGATTTTGAAGGAGATGATGTCAACTAAGAATTTAATGAAAGTATCTTGTGTAGTATTTGTCTTGAGAACATTGTTGTCCATAGACTAATCATTGGGTGACAGGTTTGGCATAGCAGTATTCTGGAAGTTGAAGTCAACTAACAAATTAGTATCTGGTAATGGTACTGTAGAAACACAGATATTTTATTTTTTATATTTGTACTGTTCTCACTGTTTGTAGCTTTTAAAAAAAAGAACATTTGTTATTTTTGGTACAGCACTGCACCAATTAAGTAAGAATATTACTTGATAGTAAGTTCCTTTTTAGTTTCCACATGAAAGTTTGATACATGGTAACAAATCATCTTTCCTAACATGCACAACTCCACCCATTTGAGTTTTCTTTCAGACTTTGGTAATAATTTTATTTTTATATTCATTTGTAATATAAATTTAAAACTTCAATTTTGTAATACATTGTATGTAACCTTATCAAAACATGTTCCTCCTAAATAACTCTGATGTACCAATTTACTTATTTTCAATTTTAATCACTACATCTTGAATCTGTTATGGAGATACAAGATTAAATAGTCCTGATATTTGAAATGTTCCACTTACAGCAGTCCAAATATTAAAGTAATTATATGAGATAATTACAAAAGTTCTATACCTATATTTCTGGCTTAGTTGTTAAAACAAATTATTGAATGGTCTTAGTAATGATTGGTTTTGTAGAAGTTAAATATCTATGTATTAAATCAGGCTCAGGTTCATCCACAAATAAAATGGAAATCAAAGAAATGGAGAGTTCTTTCTTCGAAATCTCAATAAAACCCCTAATGAGTGAATATTTAGTGTATATAACACGAATCACAGAAGTATGCAATGTTAACTATAATCCTGTTTGTTTTTTCACAAAAGTGAAAAATTTTCTAATTTTGAGAAGTATGTTAACTCATAAAAAAAATATTTGTCATACATGATGATATGGCAGTACATGGGCATGTATTTGACTTCTTTTGGATGCAATCTTTCTCCACAGGTATGGCTGTATGATATGAGATTTGTAACTTTCTGTAAAATAAGGATTTAAAAAGATATACTAGAAACTCTGCAACAGTTACACTTTATTTATCATGACTAAAATGTATTACAGAACTGATTCCACATCTATGTTTAATATTTGTTACTAATACTAATGTACTCCTTTTACTATCATAGAGCTGCATCCAAAATTTTAATGAAATACATTTATTCATAAGTGGTGCTTTAAATGTGTTGTGACCAATAGTAGAGCTTAAACTATAACATATATGAGCTGTTTCTACTAGGGATCATGATGTGTTTGAATTATAAAAAGTTTCAAAACTATGTGTAATCATATAGTGCTACTCTATTACAATTCTGGTTATGAATAGGAAAGGCTAATTTCACACACACTTTCTTCCATGTAGCATAATCACAGTGCAGTAGCTTAAATTGTTCCAGGAAATTTTGTCACTCCCATGATTTTTAAATTCGAAAGAATCAATCACTAATGTTGCACTTGATGTGCAAGTTTTCAAAAACACTACACCTTCTAGCATTTTTGATGTTTTACTGCTAAAAACTTGCACTCTTTAAAAACATTTTGTGCTATGTTACATACAATTTTATCTAGAACTATATACCACATAAAACCATGTACATCAATACATTGCTGAGATAAAATGTAATGCAACTAAAAGTTAACATTTGCAAGAATTACAATATTAAAAATTTTCAACAACCACAGTTTCATTATATAATGTATAAAAAACATTTTAAGCTATTAGTAAAGGTGAAAGATAATGCCACAAAAAAGTGTCAAAAATGAAGATAGTTCATTTTGAGCTTCATATTAAATGTGGATGGAAATACAGTGCTTACACAAGTGCACACATGTGAACATGCAGACACCTTTTTTAAGCTGCAAGATATCTTTCCAGAACAAGTTTTACATGCACTCTGGACTGACTAATTTTAGCACAACTGTCACAGAAGCAGCTGAGGTACAGAAGTTTATTTTAGGTATTTTATGAGAAAATTTTGTAATTAACAACTATATGTTTGTTTCATTGGTATATTGGCTGCAAAGACTTTTATAACGTTGAAATTTCTAATGGACTGATTCTGCCATAATGTTGTCTCACCCTAGAATAATCAGTTCATTGCACATTTTAACCCCATAACCTACATGTGTTTGTAGAAACTAAAACAACTTAACAATGAAGTATTACAAAGTAAACATATTAAGAATTTAAAATTTGAAGAATCACAATGATCAAATTAATAAAATGACTAAAAAAGTAAATGTGAAACTCAACATTTGGAAAAGTTAATTTTTTATCCTCGGATTGAAACATTGTGTTATTTTTGAAGTATTTTTTAACATTTTAGCAATTTTTAATTGGTATGGATAAGGACTTAAATATCCAATTTCCATAATTACTTTCATAGCAAATCAGCCACCTACCAGTTTTTAACATTCATTATTCTAATTGATTGAAGTCCAAATATGACATTAAAATTAACTGATTAAAAAACTAAATTACCATAACAAAAATAAAAACATTATAACATCATATTTGATGCATCATTTTTTATGTTCTTAAAGCAATAAATTAAGGTTAAAAAACATAAGTCAGTGCATGATTACTGGCTTTTATATGATGTAAATTTTTTATGTCATAATGACATTAAAGAATAAATTTATCTGGCATATAAATAAATCAATTTCCTCAGTGTCAACATTTTTTCCATATACATTTGATTTTACTACTGTTACAAATGGTCATAGCTACACAACTTACAGAAATGAAAAACAAACTCTGAACTGTTCATAGAAAACAACACATAGCAGTTTTACATAATGTTTATTAAGTACAATAAGCACAAAATAAATTAGTTTAACAATGTTTGTTTTAGCTACTGTGCAGATATGACAATTCACATACAATTTTGCCAGCAAAACTGCAGGTGTTGTGTAGCTATATACACATACAAGTGATTACAAAAGTTTTTATATTGACAAGCAAGGTTCATATTAATACACTGAAAGCTTGTGTCTATTTCATTGTTAAGAACTTTATAAACTACTCACTTACATTCTATACTTTATCAAATGTTTTAAGTCAAATCTAGAATTGTAAGTAGGTTGTTATTCTATTTCAAGACTATAAGAGGGTTCTATTCTATCTTACATATAGGGCAATAACAGTATTCTATCCCATCTTAAGTCTAGGGCTGTAAAAGATTTCTATTCTACCTTTAGTTTTTATCAGCCTTACATAATTACACCTTTCCCAAAACGCAAGAGAAAAGAGAGAGTGACAATGATGAAATACATTTCAAGTACACAAATATCTAAAACTATTGGCAGTATTTAGGAAGTTTTAGAGATTAGGTAAAAAAAATGTGGTGGAAGATTATCTTGTTAAAAATATGCTAAAGAGAAAGGTTTATATAAACTGAGCCTGAAAGTAGAAGATACTGAGACTTCAAGCAAGTTTCAAAACAAATATTTTAAATGGTAGCTAAAAGACAATACAAAAAAATGTTTGGGTAATCAAAATTATCATACTTTATAACTGAAAGCTGAACAAAACTTAGAGATAACTTTCTTATACAGATCGGAGGAGTAAAAAAATTAAAACAGAAGCTTAATTACTAGCAAAAATCAAGTGAGGTATGAAATGATTTGAAATTAGACAGGGATCTTTGTAACAAAAAGCATAAAACTAACATTCAAGTGGAAGCTAACAGATGGAAGACCAAAATTATAATCAAATGAGGTGGTTACAATTATAAACATGAATACCAGAAATTAAGTCCAGAGTAGTAATAATAGAAAACCAAATTACTTCAGAAGTAACACTTGACTTCT